CACTACACAAAAGTGCCAGTGCTGCCAGCTAAAAAACACACACACACACCAACAAAAAAATATTGGATTAGCCAAAGACTGCAGCACCACAGCACTAGTGAAAATTTAAATTTGCCAATTGGAATGCTTTTGGTTAACTGGCTTTCGGATAAACGACGCTCTACTGTATTTAGTAACTGAGAGTGACTATTTTTGATCATTGCTATGTAATTATTGACTTAAGTTACATTATACATCTTGGAATATATATGTATGATAATGATTAAATCATGACTTGGAATTCTTTTAGCTTTCATAACTTTTCTTTATGGTTTATGTATATTTTGTATATCCAGTTTTAGTGGAATTTGATCCTATAAAAACATTTTTTTAAATATTTTATTTTTAAATGCAATAAATGAAAATGCAGAAATTTGATTATAAATCTATTATTGTTTGTATTGCTATATTGCTACTCTATATCTATGCAATAATAAATGTAAATAACAAAAAAACATCTACTTTTCTTACTGTAAAAGCTACAAACATAGTTGTTGTTGATTGTTTTATTGGGAAATATAGGCCAGTACATATTAATTTTTTCCTGTTTATAAAAAGAATAAAACTAAAATAATGCTGAAAAAATATATTGCTAATTTTAGAAATATAGTTAAATCCTATCTATACTTTTCTGCAATTATATATTAAATATTTTCTTTGTTACAAAACACTTCAGTTATACATTTTTCATTTATGTGCTTTTGCACTTACAGTATGGTAATGTTAATCTGAAGTAATTGAAACTGGTGGTGAACTACCACCAGATTAATGGGGCTATGATAGTAGGGATATGATGTTTATACTTTGAAGCCATTTTTTACTACTGTACAATAATTTACAGCAGTAAATAGAATTTAGTCAGAGTTGTTAAGTCAAACAGGATCACAGAAAGAATGAGCAACAATGTTCACGTCATGTGACATGTTTATTTTAGATGTGAGCTGCAGTCCATTATTTTAGTTAGGGAAACAGTAGAAGCCATTTAGGGGTTCAGATTAGTATGACTATTGTATATGTCATATTTTTTTGTATCCTATAGCATTTTGAAATACAAAAATTTAAAGTAATTATTTAGAAAAAGTGAAAGGGGAAATTATGGATTCACTTTACGTTAGTCTACACTGACAGCAAATCAATCACCAACAAATGCAAAGCATACACTTAACATGTGACACCATTTCTGACAAATTTTCCCATTTAGCAGATTGCTCTAGCAATTTAACATATTGAAAATATTTGCTTACCATGTCTTACAGTGTGAACCAATTTTACTAAATAAATAAAAAAATTTCATTCTGGTTTTGCATTTGTTTTCACTATTTGCTGTTGGTGTGGACTAATCTTTAGATTCACCCTTCATGTGACTGGAGATTTAGCAACTGATGTCACATACTGATCAGTATGTGGCAAGTCTATCAAAAACAAGAAACAAACAAAACTTGATGAATTTTTTAAAAGTACATGATTTAATTTTACACTGTTTTACTTTTTCTTTTATATGTTGTTTAAATGTATTATACATGTCCAGTAAAACTGTCCAAAATGGAACCTGAATAAAGCAGAAACCTGGCTAAATGGGAGAATCTCTTCAGAACAGAGTGATCTTCTATTTCAAAAAAAACCTGTTCAAAAACCAGAAAAAATATTTAATACTGTGTGATTCTGGTTCACACAGTTTTACAGCATAGTAAATTGAAATTTATTTGTTAAGAATACAAATTCAGTTGTGCAGCGTTAATTTGACTGTTCTGTACTTTTATGGCAGCTGTATTCACTCCTGAAAACAATTTAAAAGCAGTTTCACTTTTGTTTTTCTCAGCTTCCTTAAAAATATATATAAATGGTGTTTGACTATATGCTAAAAAAAATACATAAATTATCCAAAAAATCAACAACTATAAGAAAAAGAAAATATGGATTTTTTTGCATAAGGAAATGAATGATGAGCATTGACCATTTTGTATAGTTTGTAGTGAAATTTTAGTAGAATAGAGCTTATTAACAGACTTCAAGTTCTTGAGGACAACTTATAACAAATCACCTAATGTATGTTGAAAAACCTATGAATTTTTTGAAAAAGTCCAAATCTCAAAAATTGAACCTTGATATTTAGTGAGCTTTGTGATAAAATTCAAGATCACTTAAAATGACTGAATTAATTTTTAAATTTAATTTAATTTTGCTTTATTATTTTTTTAATTAATTATTTTCTGAATTGGGAACCATTGTTTTATCAGTATTTAGGATAAGAAGTCGAAGAGTGATGCTAATGATTATTGTTAAATCGCCATTGCATTTTGAATAAACCTTTTGGTGTTATGGTTTTGACTTAATTCAGTGGTTCCCAACCTTTTTTCATTAGCATACCCTGTGACGTGTTATATCTCTAGATTGTACCCCTCATATAAGAAATTTAGTGAGTGCTCGTATTGTTAATTTTACTTATTGTAACTTTAAATTAAAGAAAAAATAGTAAATGAAAAAATGTATAATAAAGTCGTGATTGTTGCAAGGAACGTATTTTACCTAATAATTTTTTAATACTATTAGTTTGTGATACATAATATATTATTTTTTCTTTCATAATAACTATTTTCTGTACCCCTAAACAACCTATCGCGTACCCCTAGGGGTACGCGTACCACAGGTTGGGAATCGCTGACTTAATTGTATGTAGGTGAAATTGAAGGCTATACATAAGCATTTATTTAACTGTTATTACAAATATAAATTATTAGTGCGACTTTACTTAGAAAATTCAATCAGTTAACAAAGATTTTCTTTAAGATGCATTATTGTTATTTTTTTTATAAAAGAAAAAAAATGATAGATATAAAAATTTCATAATTACCTGAGAGACATATTATTATATATTCCAAAAAGAAATATAACACACTAAAATAATTACAAGTTTTAATGATAAAAAAATAGAATATTAATTTTTTATAGTATATATTACAATATTTTTCTTTTTGACTTCATTCTGTGAACACTAAGAAGGCTTTTTTCTTTAATATCCTCATCATGGGTTTTGCCAGTCCCACAATGTGGGCGACTAGATGGTGAGGAATGGGATCTCTGACGTATCTGGGACAGACCACTCCCCAAAAAATCTCTGGAGTTTTTTGACAATTTGGATTTGATTCTGGGTATTTGAGTGGGAGTTTGATGCCTTAACTCCCTTGGCCATCTGGCTATCCTATATTTTACAAATTATAAACTCTATAACATTCTATTCACAACAGTTCTTCAGACTGGAGTGTATAGTACATATACAGTAGCAAAATACCTTGTAGAACTAAAAGAAACTCCTGTAAATAATCATGAAAAGAAAGACTAACATTTTTGATCCTTTCCACAGATCTTCAGGTCTTTTCTACAAGTAATTTTACTACTTTATATCTGTAACTACATACTCTACATGATTTTTTAAATAATACACTTGAATTATAAAAAAAATTATAATATGCAATTTATTAAAAGTTACAACACTAATAGTTTATATTGCTTACTAGTCAATTAGGGTTAATAATTTTTATTCTATAAATTTTGCTTTTGATTAAGTTTGATAAAATTACTATTTTGTATGATTAGAGTTTATTCTTATATCAGGATATTTTTAATGTTAAAAACAAATAATTATCAAAATTTAATAGTTTATTTTTTTAAATAAATATATTAGTGTTTTTTGTAATTGTGTTTTTAAAAAAAAAATAATTCTGGCTATAATTTTTTAGAATTACTTGGAGATTTGTTAAAGCTCAAGCCTAAAGAAATTGATGGTGTTGAATCTATTATTGTTGTTGATGGAATTCCTCAAGTGGGACCAGAAAGAATTGAGAAGTTGAAAAATGTTTTAAATAAAATATTTTCGAAATCTGGCAAGATCATTACTGAAGATTTTCCTGTAGATGAAAATGGAAGAACAAAAGGGTAACGCAGTAATTTATTTTTGATTTAACGTGTGAAACTATGATTTTAAATTCTAAAATATATTTAGAAGAAGAAAAGAAGGGAGGGAAAACGGATTTAAGATTTCAATTTTAATACCCAATCCAACAAACAAATTGAATTGGGTGAATAAACTCATAATATAAATCAATAATGATTTTTATTTGATCTGTTATTAAAAGAATTGAAGAGAATTTAGATTAAAGACAAAATTTCCCAAAGCAATAATATCATGAAATTTTCTCCCTTTTCGTTACCAAGGTAACCTTCTGTACACGTAACTTGGTATTAATCTCTCTTTTGTGTGGTGTGGATTTAGGATGCAAACAAATTTTAAACAAACAAAAGCTTAAAGTGTTCTTAATAGCAGCGAAATATATTTGAATAAAACTAGACGAATTTTACTCTGTTACTAAAATTATATAACAAATATTTCATTTTATTCTTCTTATAATTTATGTAAAAATTTTGCTTAAAATACTGAAATTTATACAAAAAATCTTGTTTTTTTCTGTAAATTTTACGTGTAAATTTCAGTATTTTAAGCAAATTTAACGGGCTAAATGCAAACAAATCTTGTTTAGTAACATTTCAGGACATAAGAGAAAAATTAGTATATAAACTCATCACTGTGGCACTTTTGGCGCTGCGAGAAACAAATAAGATAGTACATTTGTAGGATGGTTTATAGCAGGACGAGTTGCAAATTTGGCAGCCTAAAAAGACACTATCATATTGCATGTGAAAAACATCATAAAGGATCAATATTGAACAGTGTTCAGTGCCTTCAGGTTTTACACCTTCAGAATGCAGACCAAAGAATACCTGCATCATTAAGATTTTTATATAGATACCTTTTACAAATAAAATGCTCATTGCTTGCAGCGCCAAAAATGCCATGGTGACAATTTTTGATAGTAATATTATTAAGGAAATACTTCCGCGTATCGTGAAATATCACCATATCAGATTTAATTCCGTTTGATCTGCTTTAAATAGGGGTACTTTAATTACAATCAACGTGTAAATATATTTGCAATACAGCGTTTATTTGTGTATAATTTAAATATTATTNAATAATAAAAATAAATGCTGACATTATTCATTAACATTGAAAAGCTATTATCTTTTATATTTTTCTATTAAAAACATTTGTGAAATATAAATATTAAAATTAAGTAGAATGAAATATGAAACAAAGCATACATTTACATTATATTAATACCTTTACAAAGTGCATTTTAAATTTATTTTGTAAATATTACAAGATTTTCTATATTTTCTGCCACATTGAAATACATAAATATGAAACTAAAAATAATGTACAGTCGACCCCACTATAACACAGGTTCATATAATGCAGATTCGTATATCACGGCGAAAAAATTGCGACCGTATTCGTATAAAAACGCTAAAAGAGACTTGTAAAATGTGGTAAAACGTCATCGTCGACTCGTGTCACGACAGGATTGGTCAAATCTGGACCAATAGTGGACGAGCAGCCGAACTACTTACACGCTATGGAGAGTTTTGGCGGGTAAGTTGAGTTTACTATCGTCTGTACAGTATGTAAATTAGGTACCGTAAGTCTAACACAGCACTGTAATTTTATACATTTCTTGTGAAAAAAACATTTATTATTTAACGTCCATAAAAATTATTTCTATTAATGATGTCTCCAAAGTTCAATGAATTTTTCGCAGAAAAATAACTTATCAGAAAATGTGCCCGCCGTTTGGTGCACTGCTCCACAACGAAAACAAGCTTAAGCAATGGCGTTGTTGAACAGTGCACATTTGCTAAGTAATCCTACAATTTTTTGTTTATAGCAAAGTTTATATGGATTATTCCCAAAAAATTATACGTGTTTTGGAAATGTTGAGTCAAATTAGTCTAGAATCGATTAATTTTATGGAAGAAAACCTTTCAAACATGTATTTAAGGATTCCTACAACGAGAAATTCTTATAAAGTGGAACGTATCTACCACATTATAGGGGGTCGACTGTATATTATAGGGATGAGATGGAATGATGTGTCTTACACAGTATGTCTGTAAAAATAAATTATATTGTACAGTACATATATATTAAATAATTATGTAATCAAACATGAGATACTAAGAAACATTATTGCATTGCAAATATAAAATTTTTGACATGTATAATAATAACAAAAAAGTAAATGCACAAAAATAAATGTGTACATAACTTATTTCTTTAAAAAGTTTAATTAGAAATAAAACTTAAAAGAATGTTATTAAGATGAATCATATATTTTTATACAATCAATGAAAGATGTTCAAAAATAAGCAGAAAATGATATGAAGTGATTCTCTTATTAAACTGTTTTATGTTTCTTTACTCAAAAAGTATAATGAACTGAACCCATCTGTCATAGTAGACATGTTGGGATGTTCCATTACTTGGGCTATGCATCATTTTGTAATTGATGGTAAACATTTTTGAAGAATTTAGAACATAAAGGGTTAATGTAATTATAAAGAAATGTATAGTTTTAAAATAAATTTATTATTTTTAATAGTTACTTATATTTAATCTCAAAACAAAAGTTTATTAATCTAGCATATGATAATATGGAATGTCTGATAATCCAGCATTCTTTGAAAAGTAGCTGATAATCCAGCATTCTCTGAAAAATAGCTGATAATCTAGTATGTTAGTATTCTGCAGATCAGAATTTATTTGGACATTTGGTGCACTAAAGACATTGGGTATTAACGTGTTTATTAATGCTTTTGTTGGTTTTTCAATCAATTCTACTTCAGTATAGTCATGCACTGACTCATCTTCAGATTGATTAAACAGTGTGTGTAAACAAATTGGAAGCACAGTGACAGCTTGCACTAGTGCATAATGTACAGCATTGTCAACAACACTCAGATCACATATATAACTTATTGAATTTTGCAAAAATGCAAAAAGTCTGTTAATCTAGTGTTTTTGATAATCCACTACCACTCTGGTTCCATAAGTGTTGGATTAATAACTTTTTCTGTAGTTTTGAAATTTAATAATATAATTGAAAAAAGGAACTATTTTATTTAGGGATGATTTAGTTTCCTTATAGATTCTTACATGTTAAATTAAATACAAAAATTATGATTATTTGTACTACTTTTGACATATTCAGATATAATGAATTGAAATTCTAGAGTTTATTAAGCTGCTGAATATTTTTTAAAGAAAATTAGATCAATTCAAATTCTAATCCAAACATTTGCATCCAAATTTTTGTTCTTTTACTGAAAACTGAATGGAATATCAGTTCTAGTAATATAGGGAAAGTTTAGAAAAAAAAACTTAAGCAAAAGGTTAAAATTTTGAAAACAATAGGAAATTAATTATTATTAATAACTTGTTTCATTTATAATGATAGTTGGAAAACATTAAATTTTCATTTTAGATATATAGTTTAATACAGCAGTTTCCAAATGGGGTTGCCACTTCTCATGGGGTTGTGTGGACTCCTTTTCATAAACATTATTTCAGTTTAAAAATTTTTTTAAAGATATAATTAATAAAAAAAATAGAAATTGAATACAATAAATTTATGAAATTGCAATATTAGCACTGACTGACAACAATAACGGCAGTTATGCTATCAATAGCTCGTGTTTTCTATCAGAAAACTAGTGCAAATGCCCAGAAAAGTCAGTTGTTATGTTTATCAATTGTATTTAGTCTAGATACTATGTAATTTTCAACTACCAAAGTAAGAATGTAGACAAAACTTGATTGGAGAAGATTGATTTAAATGAACTAAAAAGAATTAGGGTATGTTGTGGAGATTATTATTAATGACACTAGATGATCTTTATAAATCATAAAATCAAATGCAATTACAGTAGAGTGTCGTTTATCCGAATCAATTGGGGAATGGGGTTGTTCGGATAACTTATTTTTCGGATAACCGATTATGTATGAAAAAATATATTAACCTATCCCGTGTTGAAATTTTTCTCCGTTGCGTGTCGCTTCGCGTTGAATTTTCATCGATGTTAAGCCTAATGTAAACTTTTTAAAATAATAATCGTGGCTATTGTATCGTTAAAAATTATTTCTTTATTTTTTTACAAACAAAATAAATATCTTGAAAAATATAAAAACAAAAGGAATTTATACTTTAGAAGTTAATCTAGTATCAAAAACATTCGATTCAGCACGACACACAGTCTTCAGAAAAACACTACACATAAGTGCCAGTGCTGCCAGCTAAAACACACACACACATCAACAAAAAAATATTGGATTAGCCAAAGACTGCAGCACCACAGCACTAGTGAAAATTTAAATTTGCCAATTGGAATGCTTTTGGTTAACTGGCTTTCGGATAAACGACGCTCTACTGTATTTAGTAACTGAGAGTGACTATTTTTGATCATTGCTATGTAATTATTGACTTAAGTTACATTATACATCTTGGAATATATATGTATGATAATGATTAAATCATGACTTGGAATTCTTTTAGCTTTCATAACTTTTCTTTATGGTTTATGTATATTTTGTATATCCAGTTTTAGTGGAATTTGATCCTATAAAAACATTTTTTAAAATATTTTATTTTTAAATGCAATAAATGAAAATGCAGAAATTTGATTATAAATCTATTATTGTTTGTATTGCTATATTGCTACTCTATATCTATGCAATAATAAATGTAAATAACAAAAAAACATCTACTTTTCTTACTGTAAAAGCTACAAACATAGTTGTTGTTGATTGTTTTATTGGGAAATATAGGCCAGTACATATTAATTTTTTCCTGTTTATAAAAAGAATAAAACTAAAATAATGCTGAAAAAATATATTGCTAATTTTAGAAATATAGTTAAATCCTATCTATACTTTTCTGCAATTATATATTAAATATTTTCTTTGTTACAAAACACTTCAGTTATACATTTTTCATTTATGTGCTTTTGCACTTACAGTATGGTAATGTTAATCTGAAGTAATT